GCTCCACTTTAGTGCAAAGCATAATCCCAGCACAGAATGAAACAATCGAGAAGGTGCTTTAAACTCACTTGGGGCAGGGCAGAGATGTCTATTTCATCTCTTCCCTGATTCAGAATCATCTGTGAGCTCTGCCTATACTATGTGATCCTTTAGAATCTCAGTGATCCTTTCAATCAGTTACCTCAATTATAACTTTTGGATAAATTGTGATATAGGGGCAGTGGAAAAGGGTGGGTGGGTCTCCACTATAGTCTCAACTCATTGTTGTCCATACTCTCTTTGTGAGTGGATTTATGTAGTACAGTGCTCTTGCAAACAACCAGATGACCAGGACTCTTAGGCATTTATGTCTTTCTGTGCTACATAACAGTAGGGCTGCCCCTTGGATCAACACACTGGATTGCAAATTACAATTATTTCTTCAAAAAAGAGATGTTCAAACTAAATCAAATGGTCATGGAAAATAACATGTGATTGCAATAAAACTGTTCCAGCCTGACCACTTTTCTCAACACAGATTCGCTATGTTTCCAAAGCTCTGATCTACAAATTCTCTGTAGACCAATAAAACAATGAATCTTCAGTGGTACCTGACATTTATAAGAATATTCTCCATTCCGTTAAGTTTTATTGCATGGCTGTAATATTTATTATATTGTTTGCCTGGTGTTATATTAGTAAAATTGTGGTTTGTGGGTTAAAGTTTAGCTTTATGTGTAAATCCAGCCGTGCGCAACAATAACTAAACAGATTATGATTTAGAAGATTGTGTGAACCCAGCTGGAGTATCATATCCATTAAGATTTGTGTATTGGAAGGTTAGTGCGTGTGTAATATGGAATTTATATCTTCCTCTGTATGTGTGAATTAGTGATTTATATACAGTCTAGTGTTGTCTATTCAGATTGTAGCAGATTACAAGCACAAATCTTTCCCATCACCTGCTTCCTAACCCTATAACAAAAGATTAGCGATTGTTGCTTTACAGAAGAATGTCTAAAAAAACAATGAGAACCAGTTTGACATAATGGTTTAAGGCACCAGGGTAGTAACCGGGAGTCCGTGAATTATCAAAATACAAATACTTTTCTGTTTGAAGCAACACAAATTCAAGAGTGAATCCTTCTTTCTGTTTGATCAGTCTTATAGAAAAATATTCCGTTTTGTTTTTTATCTCCAAATTGGCATTGCTCTTCTAAGAGATTGTTGTGTGTAATAAGATGTTATGGGGAAAATGGAAAGGATGGGATGGGAAGAGGAGCTATTTTGGGTTTGAACCCCAGACCTTTCTAGAAAAAGTAGAAGCTGTGCTGCTGAGCTGTCTCCCTCAGTAAAACAACAGTTCGGATTCTCTCCGTCTGAATTCACTTCAACAACCAACTTTTTAGCATCGTATAATTTGGAATTTATGAATGCCAGTTTAAGGTCTCTGAAAATCTGAATACAGAATAATTGAGCTAAGAGTGTAATTTGCCAGTGAAACAGATTGGTCCATGTTAGAATTAACTGCTGTACATAATTTTGAAGATAAGCAGGTATTCCTTTTCTTAATTTCAATACATGTTTAACCAGAGGCATCCACAGCAATTCAAGATTTTGTCAAAATGACAAAATGCACACTGCAACATCACAATGCAGTCTCTACCACCTGAGTGCAATTTTGTGACACAAACAGAAAAAGAACAAAGTTTGTATCACAATGAAAACTTTACCACAAGCCACCCATATATTTAAATGTCTTTTTTCCTATTATGTCTAAAATTGCCTCCTTTTCTCTCTATGCTCACATACAACTACCGTAATGTGTTTTTGGCTTGGTATGATATGTGGATGTATTCCAAGAAAGAATACATGGTTTAGGTTTATGTATAACAGTAAGTCAAAAATAAGTTGCATTATAGCATGATCATATATCTGAATGAGTAGTAAGCTGAGTACTGTGTTAAAGAGTTCCCATAGAACTTCCTTTGCCCACTACTCTGAATAGTTTTGACTGAGTCACACAGTTGAACATTTGAATTACAACTAATGTGATTCAGTGAGATGCAATTCAGTGAGGATACAACAATTACATAGCAGGCAGCAATTCAGTCGGTAAATTATCCCTATACTGGTTTTTGACTGAAATAAACTTTGAACTTCAACTCAGTAAATTTGCCTGCATTTCTGTATTGAAAATGCTGCAGCAAAGGTTTCATAGAAAACCCATGTCACTTAAAACTGAATAA